AGCAGCAGCAGCAGCAGCACCAGGGTTTGTCTAGCTGCAGCAGCAGCTGCTGCTGCTGCTGCTGCTCTGCCCCGGCTCCCGGGCAGCAGCAGCAGCGAAGTGGGCGAAGAGAAACCGGGAGCAGCAGCAAATTGAATTAACTGCAGCAAAAGAGCAGCAGAGAATTTCCAGGAAGGAAAAGGACGGTTCTGGAGGCTGCTGCTGCTGCAGCGGAGTGTCTGTACACGAAGGTGGCGCCGGAAATGCAAAGGATCTGCTGCTGCAAGTCCTGCTGCAGCAGCAACAGCTAGAGCTGCATGCAGAGACCAAATGGAATTATTTCGTGCTGCTGCTGCTGTAGAGTTTTGCTGCTGCTCTGTAGGGCCCCAGTGAGCAGCGGCTTCCTCCTTTTGGTGCTGAGGCCGAGCAGCAGCAGCAGCAGCAACACTCGAGAGCTGAGCGCGGGTTTCCGCCCGTTTTTTCGCGCGATCAAGCCAAAAAAGGATATAATTCGAAAAGAAATTAAATTACTTGTGCAGTTGTCGAAAAATATTTGGGGAAACAGCCGTATTTCAATGCGGATCGCGCTGCTCCAGGCTTGCTCGTTCAGGTTCTTCCCGGGCGCGCAGCGCGGAGGTTTGCACAACTTCGGCTTTTCTGGCCGCTCCGCAGCCGCAAAAAAAGCATTAAAACGCAAAAAAGATATTAAAATAATAATGAAAAGCTTTTAGCTGCAGCTTCAGCCGAAAAGAGCGGCAAAAGTCGTTTGCACAAGCCCAGGCTTCGCTGGTGAGGTGTGCAGACACCTGAAATTGTGCAGGAAACGCAGCAACCTGCAGCAGCAGAACCGCCGCTAATTGTCTTTTCATTTCTTTTTAATCTCAGTCTTTTCCTTTTCTTTTTTGCTGCCCTTTCCCTCTCAGTCGCGCAGCGAATAAGCACTGCAGCACAGCCTCGCAGCAACAGCTCATTTCCTCTTTTTGCTGCCTCAATAAGAAAAGCTCCTTTTGCATGCAGCAGCAAAGCAGCAGCTCGCAGCTGCATGCTCTCGCAGCGAACAAACAGCCTTCTCTAGGGGCCACTTTTACTCAAATGCTGCAGCAAAAGAGACTTTTGCTGCTGCTGCTTTCACCTAGATGATGCAGCAAAGTGGCCCTTTGCTGCAGCTACTGTTGCCATAATGGCGCAGCAAAAAGGACTTTTGCTGCTGCTGCTCTCACAGCACTGCTGCAGCAAAACGGCCTCTTGCTGCAGCTGCTTTCACCAGAACGGCGCAGCGGAAAGAACTTTTGCTGCAGCTGCTGCCACCATAATGATGCAGCAGAAAGGCCTTTTGCTGCAGCTGTTGCAGCAGCAATGGTGCAACAAAACGGCCTCCTGCTGCAGCTGCTGGCGCAGCCTTGGTGCAGCAAAAGGGCCTTTTGCTGCAGCTTTATTTTCCGAAATAAGAGCTTTCTGGACTCTGGGAAAAAAGAGATTTATTTAAAAGCAAAATATCAATTTTTTGAAAACGAAACTAAAAGAAAGAACTTTAGACACGCAAAAGCTGCAAATTCAGTAGCAGCAGCAGCAGCAGCAGCAGCAGCAATGGGACTTTTCCTTTTTTGCTGCTGCTGCGTCCCAGGCGCTGGGGTGTCTGCACAGCTCTGAGGGGTATGTACACCTGGAGGAGCCGCAGCAGCGGGCTGCTCGGGGTGTCAACAGCATTCCATTTTTTTCTTTTTATTTCTTTTCTTTTGTAAATAATTTAATACCTTTTTGAATGAAAATTAAGTCTCTGTAAAAGTGACAAAGTCCTCTATTGATCGAGAAGCAGCACAGAGCTGAAAAAGCAATTTTTCTTTTTCATTTCTTTTTTCTCGATAAAAAGTGAAGAAAAAAAGAAAACAAATTACTTTTATTTAAAGAAAAAAGACAAAAAGGCTTTCGTACTGCAGCAGCAAACTGGAGTCAAATGCATGCGTTTACTTGCTTCTTCTTTGTGTCATTTGCTTTTTGTTTTTAACTCCTTTTGGGGCTTTTCAACTTCTTTTTTTGATCTTTCTTTTCTTTTTTTCTCAAACTTGTTTCAAATTAAATTTAATTAAAATAAACTAAAATAAATTAAAATAATTCAAAAAGATCAATTGTGCCTCTGCATCTCTGGCTGTACTCGTGAGGTGTACGTACAGCTCAAAGTGCATGCATGCGCTGCGAAGTTGTGCATTTAAATGCGCGAAATAAAGCATTAATAATATAATAATATTATATATTATATAAAAATAAAAAGTAAAAGTAAATAAATTCAAATAAACGCCTTAATATACTTATTTAAAGGTATTTATAGTGACATTTGTGCGAAGTTGCAAATCTAATCTCTTGGGGGTCCCGAGAGCAGCAGCAGCAAAGGCTTGCAGCTTTCAGCAGTAAAATGAAAGGGAGGAATCGCATTTGCTGCAGCTGCTGCTGCAGCTGCTGCTGCAGCTGCTGTAGCAGTGGCTGTAGGGGCCGCTCCTGTCGCATTTGCGGCTTCAGTTGCTGCTGCAGCTGAAGCAGCTGCAGCAGCAGCTGCGGCAGCAGCTGCTGCGCCTTCCAAGCTGTTCCGCAGCTGCTGCTGCTGCAGATTCAGTCCCCAGCAGCTGCAGCGGGGCCCCAGCCAGCCATCAAAACGCATGCATTCAGCCTCAGCAGTCCCAGGGGACCCCCTGAGGGGCCCCCTGATGGGCACCTTGAGGGCCCGGGGGCCCCAGGGGCCCTGGGGCCCCAGTATGGGGCCCCTACTTAGTTGGGCGCTGCTGCAAAGGGGGCCCCCAGGGCCGTGTTGACCGGCTGCTGGATGGCTGAGGGGCCCTTAGCGGGGATAATAAAAGGAAATGAGATATTTAATTAAATTAGATTTATTTATTTGTTTAATTATATTTTCAAAATTCCTTTTGGAGGTCTGGAGCCCTCTGGAAGGCCTGAGGCCCCGCACACTCGACAGGTGTATGTACACCTGAGCAGGCCCTGCGGGATGAAATGAGAGGCAGAGGCGAAGATAAAGACCTTCTTTGATTTGAAATTAAATTTAAAATTAAATTTAAAATCAAATTTGAAATTTAAATTAAATTTAAATTGCAAAAAAAAAGAAAGTGAAATTCCCGCTGGCGAGCGCGACGGTCTGCCGCAGACCGGACCACTCTGAGCGCCGGGGTGTACGTGGAGCTCGCAGCAGCCCGAACTGAGTTTCTTTTTGCTTAATCTCTTTAAATTAAAATTAATTCTTATATTTTATTATATTTAATTCATTTTAAGATGAAAATTGGTGCACAAGAGGCCTCTGAAAGGCCCCAAGAGGCCCCCCCGCGCCCCCGCCTCGCCGCGGCTGCTGAGGCCTCCCGGGGCCCTCCTCTGTTCAGTGCTCTGCTTTCCCGCAAGCATTCTTTAAGGTCTCTAAAATTAAATTAAATTAAATTTAATGCAATTTAATTCATTTAGATTTAAAAAAGCTTTTTATTCATACCCGCAGCACTCCAAGACAGCCAGCCGCCACCGCCACCTTGTCCCGCCGCCGACGCGAGCCCTCGCGGGGTCTGGGGTTTAGGGTCTAGGGTTTAGGGTTTAGGGTTAAGGGTTTGCTGTCTCCCGCTAGACATTAATCTTCTCTTGGCTTCTTTTTACCATTTAGAGCCACGGAAAAGCCCCAGGCCCTCCGCAGCAGCAGCAGCAGCAGCAGCAGATGGCCAGGGCCTTTGCCCTGCAGTGTACGTACACCCGAAGGGCCTTTTTGCTTCACTTTGAGCTTCTCTGAGGACTGAAGCGCGGGGTGTACGTACAGCTGCCTCCAGTGCCTCCCAGCAGCTGCTGCTGCCGCTGCTGCTGCTGTTGGTGCTGCTGCTGCTGCTGCTGCTGCAGCATGGCTGGGCGCACGCTGCCCCCGGTGGGGGCTGGGGAGCTGCAGCCCAGCCTCATGGAGGCTGGGGGACTCCCTGTGAGGATAAGGCAAATCTTTAGCTGCTACCAGCAGTCTCTGGGACCCGAAGCTGCTGCTGCTGCTGCTGCAGCAGCAGCAGCAGATCGAAACGTGAGACCACTGCAGAGCTGCAGCAAGCAGCAGCTGCAGCTCCTGCGGCTGCTGCAGCAAACAGGCTGCAGCAAGAAGCAGCTGCTGCTGATGCGCCAAACCAGCTGCAACGCGGCAGAGCGGCAGCAGCACCTGCTGCTCCTGCTGCAGTTCAGCTGCAGCAACGCGGAAGCAGCAGCAGCAGCTGCTGCTGCTGCAAATCAGCTGCAGCACAGTGCAGCAGCAGCAGCTGCTGCGGGGCAGCTGCGGGTAGCGTGCCCCTTCTCGATGGGCCTTTTCTTCGCCGATTTTAATTATTTTTATTCATTTATTCGTCTTAATTAATTAATTAATTAATTAATTAATTAATTAATTAATTAATTAATTTTTTTGCTTGTGTTAATGCGCATTGCTCCAGGATGGAGCCCCCAGAGGCCGCCGGGGCCCGCCCTTCCTTCCGCTTGCAACAGGCAGCAGCAGCCGCAGCAGCAGCAGCGCAGCAGCAACAGCAGCGCAGCAGCAGCAGCGGCAGCAGCAGGGGAAGAAGGCCATGGCTGCTCTGCGGTGTATGTACACCCCAAATGAATGGCTAGATGTGGAGGCAGGTCCCCCCACAATCAAGACAGGTGGGGGTGTATGTACACCTCACAGCAGCAGCTGCAAAGATTAAAGGTTGAAAATGCATGCAGTTGCTGCTGCAGCTGCTGCGGCTGTTGCTGCTGCTGCAGCTCTGCAGCTGCTGCTGCGGCAGTTGCTGCTGCTGCAGTGCAGCTGCTGCTGCCGCAGTGCAGCTGCTGCCGCGGGTCTTTCTGCTGCAGTTGCCCTGCTGCTGTCGCTGCTCGTACGAGTGCTGCTGCTGCAGCCTGTCTGCCGCAGCTGCCGCTGCTGCTGCTGCTGCTGCTGCTGCAGCGTTGCTGCTGCGTTTGGATTTGCTTCCTTCAGGAGTGCCGCTGCTGATAGAAGCTTACACCGGAGTTATGGAGACAGACAAAGAGACAGAAGTCACAATTGTTTTGGCCTCCAGGGCCCTCCCTGCTGCTCCCCTCTTCGTTTGCATAGGCGAGCTTGCTGCTGCTGCTGCTGCTGCTGCTGCTGCTGCTGTTGCTTCTGCTGCTGGGGTGCTGCTACGCTGTTGTTGCAGCTGCTTTCACTGCTGCTGTGTTCGTTGCCGCGGCTGCTGCCGCCGTCCCTCACCTCCCCCTCTGCTGCTGCTGCTACTGCTGCTGCTGCTGCTGCTGCTGCTGCTGCTGCAGATGGGGACATTCTTTTGAAGGGGAGTTTGTACGGGCTTGTGCTGCGGGCATGGGGGCCCCCCCTAGCAGCAGGAAGGCACTGCTTGAGTGTGCAGGACGGGTCGGGGGCCCCCCACAGCCTGCGGTTCGGGGCCCTTGCTGCAGCAGCAGCAGCAGCAGCAGCAGCAGCAGACTGCCCGCTGACAGAGCAGCTGCCGCTGCTCGTGCTGCCCCCGCCCTCCAGCAGCAAACTGCCCCGCCTCTGCTACTCCAAGCAGCGCAGCAGCCCCAGTGAGACTCTGCGCCTTTTTGGCTTTTTGTCTTTGCGTTAAAAAGGTTATTTGCATGCAAATGTTTATTTAATTGCACTCTAGTTAGATATACCTATGTATATATATATATATATATATATTCATATATATGTACAAATATATATGTATATATATATATATTTGTATATGTAGGTTAATTTGATGCATAATTATATGTGGTTTATTTTGATATATATATATATATATATATATAATACACATTCATATATACATATATGTATATACATGATATATATACATATATATTTATATATACATAATTACATATATATACTATATGATATTATATACAAATATTCATATATATACACATTTATATATTATATATATATATATTTGTATTTGTATATATAGATATACTATTATTTGTTTGCATATATATATATAAATCAACTACATACATGTATATACATATCTGTAAATGAACTCTATATACATAAATATATAAATACATATACATATCTTTATATATATAGATATATATGCATATTATCTGTATATAT